ACCATGAACACAGACATTTCAACTCTTGTTTATTGACTCAAGAGATAAGAAAAGCATGTCTCCTCCCACCACTCACTGGAGTCCATGCTGGTACTAGAAACCCCAGATAAGGCACTGCCAACTCCCACTAACACTCCTCAGAGCCTGCCTAGCTGTCTCCAGTAGCACTCCCTCCACTCAGTGCCACATCCCAGCCCACATTCATAGTAGTACTATTTAAAATTCTAACTCCCTGCATTGGGATGTTTCTCATTCTTAACATGGGGCAGATGTTTCTTTTTAATATTACTTAACTCTGTCAGGTTTCTCACCAGATCTGATGGCTTCTCAGTTTGTCTGCAACAGCAAGCTCAGGGTCCCTTCTATAATTCCTGTGTGCAAAACTACCCTCCGAAGTTCCCGTGAGTGGTAGGAGAGGCTGGTGTGGCTTCTTCATTCATGTGGTTGTGCCCCACATTGGAATGCCAGACGATGCTTTCCCATTGGCGTGGAGGCTACACCTGAATCTGCTGGTATTTAAACTATCATCTGTGCCCTGTGGACCCACAGTCAGTGCTCCACCACTCAAGCTGCAGCCTGGAGGAATTTCCATCCTGCCAGCACCGGCTCTGTCACTGCTGCCAAATGTAGTTTTTAACTAAGTCTCTATATTTCTATCTACAAATAAAGACTTGGGAGTCAGATAGGTGAAAACCTGAGAAGCAACCAGCTGACCTTCCTTTTGGCCGAAGACCCAGTAAGAGTGCATCTCTCCATTCATTGCAAACCAAAAGGAGACTGCAAATCTCTAAGTCCCTCCCCACTCCTTCCTGTGCCTCTCTGTCTTTATGAGTCCTCTGTAATCTCTATGGTTAATTCTTATCAACTAGTCACTGGCTCTGCCTCTTGATCCAAGGTTTGTTTTATTAACATAGTCTCAGGTTTCACAGTGTGATCAAATATCCTGCAACAATCAATAGCCAATAGTTCAGCAGTAAGGGCCCCATGAGTTCTTCCCTCTTTCATGACTGACAGGGTCAGTCTTGTGCAGGTAACCATAGTTATTATAAGTCTGTGATTAAAGTGGTTGTTTCTCGTCTAGAAGACGCAATTCGTAGTCCATTTACCATCTCTTGACTCTTACACACTTCCTATCGCCTCTTCTGCAATGTTCCATGAGCCTTAGAAGGAGTGGCATAAACATCTTGTTTAGTATTGAGCACTCAACCATCGCTTGCTCTCATCATCCTGGGCATTCATGAGTCTCTTCATTCACAATTGTTCACAACCGTCAGTCCTGGTTGAGTAGGGCTGAGAGCAAACCACTGTTCACAGCTATCAATCCTGGTTGAGTAGGGCTGAGAGCAGCTTTACAGCAACAGATCCTTGAAGACACTTTGCTGAGTGAAAGAAACCAGATACAAAAGAGCACATGACCTGTGACTCCATTCTTATGAATTTATTGAACAAAAAGAGTTAGTTCTTGGAAGAGAAGCACGGGATTATCTGCTTCTTCTGGAACAAAAAAGATTTGGAAGGGACATGGTGATTAGATGGCAAAAGTGTTCTGTGAATGGAGTTCTGATCCCATGGGTGGGTGAAATTTGTGCAAACTTGCTGAATGGTATACTTTAATTGGGACGTTTCTGTGTACGAAATTTTCCACCAAAAAGCTAAAAATCAGCATGAAATTGTAATCAATAAACTGCATGTAGAAATAGTTGAGAAAGCTAAGTATCACTGTCTACAATGTACTTTAAATACATAGTGACAAAAGATGGGTTGATGGTGAACAATGGGATTCGTAGATGGATTGACAGCCAATAAAGCAAATGTCATAAAAATGTTAATGGTGAAATAGGGCTCGTGTGGGTGTGTTTTTAAAACTTTCAAAGCTTCTGTAGTTTAATTTTTTATATGTAAGATTGACTCAAGCAGAACACATGTGGGAAGTTTAAAATACCTCCTGGTTTATGTTCCTTGTTAGTAGTTCAGTTTCCTCTATGCTTTTCCCTCACTGTGGCTTCAGGACCCTGATTGGGTGAAGGCAAGGAGAAGGATGAAAAAGGCCGGGAAGGCTGATGGCTGTGGAGTGTGTCTGTCAGTGCTCTCCCAGAGAGGCAGTAGCAGTGGAAGATAGACACTACAGTGGCCAGTCTTTGTTGTCAGTTTAACTAAGTCCCAACCAAGGAGACTGAGATAGACCACTGAGTGTATCTATAAGGGGCACCCAGAGAGGATTCATCTGTTTGCAGGGGAAGACCCACTCTGAATGTAGGCAGTGAAGCATCATGGGTGGGGCTCCAGGATACAGCACGATGGCAAAGGGAGAGGATGAGCTAAAGGAGAGCATCTCTTGCTCTACTTCCTGGCCAGCATCCACACAGCTCTGCCTTGCCACACCTTCCCTGTACCTCTGTCCTGCCAAGCCTTCCCTGCCACACCTTCCCGGCCATGAGAGACTAAGCCCCCTGAAGTCAAGCATCAAGATAAAGTTTTCCTCCCTAGCACTGTATTCTCAGGTGTTTGGGTCACAGTGAACTCAAAGCTGATATGCACAACAGACATTGGGCCTGTGTGATCATTGGGGCTACCTAGGAAAGTCCAGAATCCACCAGGCAGGGACCGTTGTCTGTGAGTGGGCTTTCTTCTTCCACTGGGAAAATTCCGTTTTGTCTACCCAGATCATCTGGGAGACCCAACTGACAGCCTTTGATCTCACTACAGAATACCTTAACAGGAACTGGGGACATTGCTCAGTTGGGAAATTGCTTGATTAGCACACATCTGTCATCTCTTGGCTCTTAAACTGAGATGCAGGCAGAGACAGGAAGAGCTCCCAGAAGCCCTGATAGGCCAGTTAGCCTGGCATATCCAGCCACAAGCAACAAGAACGAAGAGGAAAGTGAGGACCAATGACGTGGAAAGTTGTCCCCTGACCTACACACATGTGTCCACTAGCAGCACTCACGCACACGAATGTACACACAGAAAACTTTGAAAAGATTTCTGCAGCGTGCTGTGAAGCAAGGCCATGCACGCGGCTTTCTAGTCTGAGAGTCTTCTCAAGCTACTAAGAAAACAGGCGCACGCAGAACAATAAAGTGACCTCTCAGTCTCCCAGGAAGAATGCTGCAAGAATGTGCAATTAACTGTTGGAACTTACATTTGGGATGGGGTTTAAGTAACTATTGCCAATTTTTCAAATAAACTGAGAAGCGGATTTTATTGCCTTTGAACATGAAAAGGAAACCAAGGGCCTCCTAGCTCGTTACTGCTTCTTGTGGTTTTGTGCCTGTGGGATTGCCGAGACCAAACTTCAGCAGAGGCCCGTGAGATCCAAATTGCTTTCTACATTAAGCAGCAGGAAACCTCGAGTACCTAGCTTGTCTCAAATGTGGTTAATAAGAACCATATGCAAGAATTTGGCCAAACTTTCCTTTTCTAGAGGTCTGGTAATCATTTATGAATTTGCTCAATGAGCTAAAAATATAATTTATATGCATATTTTATACATTAATACCTTTGGTAGATGAGTGTGTTCTGCCTGAGATAGACCCTGTGTGGTGAAAATAAATCTGCAAATGCTAACGTGGGATACAGGAAACAACTCTGTATTCTTCAAGAATGAATGAAGCCCTCTTGGCTAGTGGCAGATTCAAGCCTGGCCTCTGGGGACCTCCTCTTCATCCTCCATGGGTCTAGGGCCTTGTCCCCAACAGAACATCCCATAGGCTCTGCTATTTGCGTGGTCTCTTCCCAGTCAGGCACAGGCTAAGGGTAGCCAGTATCCACCTCCCAAGTGTGGGAGGGCCCTGCGTATCCCTCCCTGGTCTGGGAAACCTGTCTGTCCTGGTGAGCCAGCAGACTACCTCCACAACAAATGCAGTATATGACACACAGTGTGCACACAGAAAACTGAAGACTTACACCAACCATGTATCACAGTTATACATACCACCACAGACACCAATCATTCACCCCACCACAAGTACACACACTACAAACACTGCATGCCATGCCATACACACTACATACCATATATTATATACATTATGCTCACACACCACACACCACCAGAGGTATACACAGCTACAAACATGGCACAACACACACAACATACTGTATATACTATAGACTGCACTTATAGATACCCAACATACCAATATTTACACATCACAGACACACACACCACATTATCTACAGACAAAACATCACCCACACACATCCACACTATACTACATTGCACATACACATACAATTCCCATGTATTTACACTATACCACATACATATCACTCATATATCATATGCATGTATACCCATATTGCAACACATGCACGCGCACACACACACACACACAGGGACACACGGACACACTATACACCACACACAGACACAACACCATATGCACTAGAAAGTTCAACTCGCATCTTTCTTGAGAATGACCAGAAGCAAGACCTTTCAGAGACTGAAGAATATATGCCAGAAGTTCAAAGCAAAAATTAGATTTCAATAAATTGCCCACCCATGCTATTAGCTTTTCCCTCCTGCACTGCAACCTGCTCCTTCAGTTTATACCAGCAAACCCAGCCGCTAATCCTACTGCCGCAGTAAGTGTGGGTTAAGCTCCCAGGTTTTCACGTTAGTTCCCTTCAGACTTATGATGAATGCTAACTGCAACGCGCAGGGAAGATGCTCTGTCCTGAGCCTGGCACCAGTGTAAGCTCAGGAAATGTGGAGCTTGGTAAACAGCCACACAGCCCGGCACTGAGTAGACCCCCCCCCCCCTGCCCCTAGTGCCTGAAAACTGGTGAGAAATGTTCCAGGCAAGTGGATTTTGTTAACAATCATCTTGAAAGCTAAGGACAAGTCACAAAAGAAATGCAAGGGGCGATTATGATCAGAGAACAGAAACCAAGAGCCCAGAATGCTTTCTTCAGAGAGTGACAGGAACGTAGAAGGCTTTCTGGAGCCTGTGCTGACCCGGTAGGGGGGAAGTTGGAACGTAAACTGCACCAACCTTTTAGATGTAATCTTGAAGTGATGTGCTTCTGGGAATCTTTAGTTTAGAAATATTTTCCCAGGATTTCAAAGCAATGGACAGCAAGCAAAAGTACAGAGACAGAGGCCTGGGGAGATGGTCAGATGGGTAAAATGCTTGTCACTCAAGTGTGAGGACCAGGGTATGTATGCAAGGGCACGCAGTAGAGAAATTGCTGACACGACAACTCCATTAGGAGGAAGGTTTTTTTGTGGATAAAAGACAGAAAATATCCAGAGGCATCTGGAAGACTCCAGAGTGGAGAGGAGAAACAGATGAGACGCGGCCAGGACTAGGGAAGTGGGAGAGCAGGAGCGAGCAATGGGAATAACAAGCGACAGAGAATAGAGAGAGGCAGAGAATACACAGCAGCAAGACAGCGGGAGAGCAGAGAGAGAGTGAGCCAGAGCAGCACAGGGGAACAAATCATGTAGCTTATAAGGAGGATGAGTGGGGGAGGGGGAGGGGAGGGACTCCTTTGGGGGATGGAAAATCCATTTCTCATGTTCATAAGGAATGCTGGCTTTTATCTGACCTCCAGAAGTCCTTCAATAGTCCAGTTTGAGCTCTTTTTTTTTTTTTAGACATATAGAGGACTGGAGACCTAACAGAGTTCATGGTATATGGTGGGAACTCTGCACATGAGTTTCTGACTCATGTTTCCCTATCTTTGGCTGTTCTTGTGTGTGTGTGTGTGTGTGTGTGTGTGTGTGTGTGTGTGTGTGTGTGTGTGCAGAATGACTGAGCCATTGTTGAGAGAGTTCTTGTGGATGGAAGGGAGCTGTTTCCATATTGTTGTACATATAGGTATGTATGTGTGGCATGCATGCATGTTTGCACGTGAGGAAGTGTGCTTGTGCACATGAATGTCCAAGGCTGACACTGGAAGTCTCTCTCTGACCCCCACCATGGTAGAAGTCTCAGTTCTTGCACTCCCAAAAGAGAAGAATCCACAATGGGGCACTCATAAAGCAAGCAAAGAATCCAAGTTTATTCTATCACCCAGGAGTGAAAACTAAGTATGCCTCACAGTGCAATGGGTATGGGCTGCCTCTAGTTAATCTGAACCTCCCGTGTGGTCTGAAATGCCTGCTCTCCTAGAAAGGTGGAGGCTGTCTTTAGGAGACATTCTTACCAACAATACAGTCTATTGTAACAGTATGTAACAAAATGTAACAATATGTGTACAGGCATAGCTGCTGACCACAGGGCGGCAGACTGAGAAAAGCAGGTGCTACAGCCTTGAAGGAATCCAACTGTGCCTCCTTGAGGTCCCTCCTCTCTCTTTAGGGATAGCAAAACAAAGAACTAACCTAGGCTCTGGCCAGAATCTCTCTCCCTCCCCCTTGCAGCTGAGCGGTCCAGCCCAGCCCCCTGATGGCCAGACCCAAGGCAACTTTGAATAATGACTTTACTTTCTTACCTAGTGCCCTCCTACCTAGCACATGGGTATGGAACCACCCTTGGAAATCTTGGAAACCATTGAGAACAAGAAATCCCTTTGTTCTGGGACACTGGTGGCTTTCTCTTGCCAGCTATGGTGTGAGGCTCTAATTCTGAGGGATGGTTCATCCCATCGCTTTCTACTGGGTCTGTGAAAGCTTTCTAATTTATTTTGCAATGAAATTTTATTTATTTTGAGGTGTGTGTTTATGTGCTCAAACACAAGCCAGAAGGAGACATTGCAAGGTCTCTCTGTCACTGAGATGGAAGTTCGCTGTCTCCACCTGTTCCCTCAGTCCTGGGCTTACAGGAACAAGCACAGCTTTTTACATGGGTGCCGGGTATTTGAACTTAGGTCTTCATGCTTGCTCAGCAAGTGCCCTTAGCCACTAAGTCATTTCCCAATCTAACACACACACAGTTGATGGAGCGATGGTGTCTTGTTCGTGTTTCTCTGGATGAGGCTCCTGGGAGCTGGCTGGTCCTGCTGAAACCAGCTTTATTGTTTTTCTCAGAGTCCTGCCTTGCCTCCTGCGGGGTCAGCTTGGCTATAAGCTCTCCCACTGACCTTCCCCAGGATTCCTGCCCTCTCTGTTTTAACCCTGGCATTCATGTTAACTCTAGCATTCTCTTTCACCTTTAACACTGTCACCTTAGTGCCTGACATGAAGGCTACCCAAGACCTACACCACTGTGCTCTGTCCTCAGAAAAGCCTCCTTTCTGGTATGAAATGCTACACTGTCCTTTGGTCTGAATGTGGCAGAGTGAGACACTGACCTCACCGGTGTGACATTCTGCCCTGTCTACCCACTAGTTCTGAGAGAAAAGTGAGCCTTCACGGCACCAGAAACGGCTACAAGCAGTTCTTCTTGTGAACTGTAATTTTGGCACCAAAACCCAGTCTGGAGGCAGTCACTAAGTCCCTGGAGTACATGGTAAAATAGCTTATTGTCTCCAAGCCTGAAAATGTTCCCAAGGTGATTCATGTAGAGACTCCATATTAGGTTTTGTTCTTGTCTGGTCTCTGTTGTTGTGATAAGCACCGTGACCAAAATCAACCTGGTAAGGAAAGGGTTGGTTTGGGTTTACACTTCCAGGTCAGCTCATCACAGAAACAAGTCAGGGCAGGAAGTCAAGGCTGGAGCCCGGAAGCCAGAACGGAAGCAGAAGCCATGGAGGGATGCCACCTCCTGCCTCTCTTTTGTATCTACCCCACCCAAAACCACCTGTCCGGGGGTGGCACTGCCCACAGCCACTTCTCAGGTGACTCTAGTTTGTGTCAAGCTGACAAAAATTAATCCAGTAGTTAATTTCTCATTGCTGTGACCTGTGTGTTTGTGACCACGACCAGAAAGAGGTTAGTTAGGCTGATGTCACCTCCCACACTGGATCAGGGTCACATTTCCAAACACTGACTGTTTTCAGAGCGGGGCCGATGTACCAGCTAATATTGATTATCAACTTGACAGGGCCTAGAATCACCAGGAGACCAGCAGTGTGGGGGAGAGCTTCTAGATGAAGTTAACTGAGGTAGGGAGACTGGCCCTAAATCTGGACTTTACTGTCCCATGGGCTGGTGACCTGGCCAGCCTAAAAAGGTGGCAACTGGATAGCATTCATTGCTGTCTGGTTCCTGATTGAGGATGCCTGTGATCCAATGCTTCAGGCTCCTACTGCCATGCCTTCTATGGTGGACTAAATCTACCCTTGAACTTTGAGCTGTAATAAACCCTTTCTTACTTAAGGTGCCTTTGTCAGAGCGCGCGCGCGCGCGCGCACACACACACACACACACACACACACACACACACTACCAACTTTTCTCTAAGCTTAAATCTATCTTGTTACTGTAGCCACTGCTACTCTCATAGACATACATAATGGTTCTCTCACTCTGGCCTCTGGCACATGTCTCCAGTGCTTGTATTTGTTGTTGTTTTTGAGACAGGGTTTCTCTGTGTAACCCTGGGTGTCCTGGAACTTGCTTTGTAGACCAGGCTGGCCTCAAACAGATCCGCTTGCTAGCCTCTGCTTCCCCAGGGCTGGGATTAAAGGCGTGTGCCTCTATGCCAGCTCCATGCTTGTATTTACAGCAGTTTTCTAAGCAGGAAGAATGAGCTATCAGAAGGGCTCAGCCAAGGTTACCTTCTTCCCTTGATCCTAGACCCACAGCCATCTGAGGCTAAGAGGGCTCTGCACACTGACTGTTTTTGTTTTGTTTTGCTTTTTCAACCAAACCCCAAATTTTTATATCCATCTTCACCTACCCTATCAAAATGAAAGCACTGGGGCTTACACCCTAGTGGCAAAACATGGCAATTCAAATAAAAACATCGACAAAGAGAAGGTCGAATGATTCTTTTTATTTAACATAATTTCTTTATTGACTCTTTGGGAGTTTCACATCATGCACCCCGGTTCTGCTCACCTCCCAGTCCCCCTATGTCTACTCCTTACCCTCAAAGAAAATTTTTTAAAAAAATCATATCAAAACAAAACAAACAAAAACTAAAAAACAACAACAAAAAAACCCTCTTCACTCCTCATCTTTCCTCCCTCTCTAACACCTCTTCGTTTATCCTAGTGGCATTGGGAGCTGCAGTGTGTCAGATAGTATTCCCTTTTGTTCAGTCAACTTTGTTTGCAAATATTCATTGCAATAAGTCATTGGTTTGGTTCAAGGTCTCTGAGTACTGGTACACCATCATCACTGGGTCCTCACTAAAACTCCTGTCAGATTCCCAGTGGCTGCCCTGAGTCATGGAGATCCTGTGGGTATCGTACAACAGGACCGGTCCCTTCACCAGCTCCAGCAGGTCCTACATGGGCTAGATGTTAGGGCGGGCCAACCCAAGGCCCAATTGTGAGCCTGGGTGGTAGCTGAGCTGGGCAGTCTAGGCCACTGGGGTGAGAGGCGAAGCCAACTTTACTCCCTTGCCATCAGGGCCAGTTATCCCTCCACCTCTGGTGAGGGATGGGGTCATCTCTCCAGAGTGCAGGGGTCAGGTCTTCCATGAGGGTCAGGGCCAGCTACAATGTCCAGCAAGGAGCAGGACCAGGTCTCTCAGGGCAAGTGAAGGGCGGGGGCTGGCTCAACATGGCTCTGATTTCATCAACCTGGTTCCTACAGCCCCCTGTGGTAACATGGATGAAAGACATCAACACAGACCCCCAGCTGCAGCAGGACCACAGACCCAGACATGGCTCTCAGTAGCAGCTCTGGCCCAGACAGCAATATGGCTCCAGGTGGCAGCACAGGTCACTCAGATCAGGATGGTTCTGGGGCTCCCAGATGCCAACAAGGCCGCAGGTTGCAGCCCAGACCCTGGGCTTCCTTTGGTGGCAACATGGGCCTTGGACTTCAACGAAGACCATGGCTGCGACAGGACCATGGACCCAGACATGGTCCTCAGTGGCAGCTGGGTTTGGATGTCACCACTGCCCCCAGTGACAGGGCAGGGTACCCAGATCAGTATGTCTCCACTGTCAGCATGGCCTTCAGACACCAATAGGACCCTAGGCGGAGGCATCCACATGGCCTTCAGTGATAACAGGAGCCTTGGACATCAACACAGACCCAGACATGGGACTCAGCTGCAGCTCTAGCCTAGATGTCATGGCAACAGGAGCCACAGACATCAACTCAGACCCCAGGTGCTTTCGGGCCACACCCTCCATAGCAGCCCAAGCCCCGGGTGGTAGCATAGACCAGTCAAATGAATTTCAATTTAGTTATACCACAGCCTATTAGACATACATCGAAAAGAATGAGTGATGGGGAAAATGGATGAAATTTATATTGATGAATCAGGGAGAATTCTGTAAGACCAAACAGAAATATCCTATATCTTATTATCCTTTTTTTTTTTAAGAGCAAAGAAGAGTTCCTTATATGAACATACCCATGCAGGTAACACACCCACGAGATGCCTACAGGACGTGGGCAGGGCTGAAG